TGATTGGACCTAGGGTATAACACTCACAAAGACTCCAATGATAATCCACACAGGAGAACAAGAATGAGATATTAGGATTTTTATCTTTTCTTTTATGCTAACAAGATTATGAATGATGTAATTTTGTTGTAATGAAAAAATCAAATCGTAATTGTTTGTGTATAGATGTTTAAGTGGGTATGACCCACCCACTAAACATGAAGGGGAATATTTGTTAATTAATTAAATTAATCAAACTTGGCTCATAAATAAACAATTCAATTAATTAATTCTACAAATGTCCCACTCTTGTCAATTAGTTAATTCTTAATTTCATTCTTGTAATTCGTGTGCGATCCATTAGGTTCCCGATTCATATGTTGGACGATGTGAATTATTTTCTTAATCTAATCAAAATAAGATAACTTAAAATTTCCCTTTTTAATTTATCATTAATCAATATTCATCATCTCTGATTAAGATCTAATAATGTGAAAGAAAAAAAAATTCAAAAAACTCGTGGGGCTCGCAGTTCGGCTGGCCTATTGCCATGACTACTGCTCCATCTTCCTGTTCTGTCATTGATTCACGCTTGTCCCTTTGTATGCCCCTTAGAAAGGTTAAAGTGCATTCTAGTTCAGGATCAACAGATAATAATTTCAAATTCCTCGCTCTTCGCATACGCAGCTGAAATTAACAAACTAAGAAACTATGAGAGATATAAATAAAATAAATAAAATAAAATTTAAAATTTAAAATCTAAATAAAATAAAAGCTAATTGGTAATAATATTAGTAAAAATCAAATAAAACAATCTGTGGCAACGGCGCCAAAAATTTGTCAGGCGTTTTCTATATCGTGATTTATGCTGCAAGTGTACAGTATCAAGTTTTGTAATATAATAATAAAGTTAGAATGTCGAATCCACATAAATTGTAATTCAAATTTCTACTAACTACTATAATTATATAGCATCTATTTTGTCTAGATAAATGAATTTTATAATCAACGTTTTTTTAAACTAATATGGTAACGAATTCAACAAATAAATACAAGTTAGAAAAATAATCAAGTGTGGAAGCCTAGGGTTATGATTTCACCTAACTATCGAATATGATTCTCAATTATATAATTATTTCTAATCAATTTTCCAAAATTTATAAGCAAGAACACTAACGTAATTTTACTCCCTCCCTCGAGTGCCGAGCAAAAACTATTCCTATGTTTCAATTCTAATATCTGTATTTTCGAATTAAAATATAGAATTTATCAAGTTCGTGGTTCTTAAATGGAACACGCTTCAAAGGAATTATACTTTCTCTCGAAATCTATAATTTCTTAGGTTGTATTATTCTTACGATAATGCCTAAACTCTCCTCTCTCGAGTGCCAAAATTGACTAGCATCAAATCATTCAATTAGTGGTCAATTAATTGAAAGCATTAAAATCATAACACAAATAAACACATGCGAAAAATCTAATAGAAATAACTAAAATTAATCTATCCATATTCTCAAGTTTTTTGTTACAATCAAACCCTAGATAATGAATTTAGCTCATGAAAATAGTAAAATTCATTAAAAAGACACAAAGAAGAGAATAGAAAAACTAGGATGTTGATTTTCAATTTCTTATCTTGTTCTTCTTTATCTTTTTCTTGAATCTCTTAATGTTTTTCCTCCTTGACTTCTTGAAAAATTGTGTTGAATTCCCCCCTTGCCTCTTGAACCGTTCTCTACCTAGAATTATGTCTTAAATGTTGTATTTATAGTATTTTGAAGTTTTGGAAGGGTTGGAGTCGTGTTGGGACAAGAGTCCAAAAATTCAAAACCATTTTTCTCGCCCAGCAGCCCCACAATCATGGTGCTGCGACGACTAGTTACTGTTGAATTTCAGCAACAGTGGCACTGCGGCACCCAATTTCAGATGGAAATTCAGCACTACTCGTCCTTCAGCATTTTTATCATATATATTTCTCCTGATGTCCACTTGAGGCGATTCAAGATGAGTTGGAAAGATAACTCAAAGACTACAACTTTGCTTCAAATATCATTTTCTAATTCAAATGTTTGCTATGTTAAAAATGAGTCTCAATATGAAACTGAGAATGCTGAGCATAATTTTTTCTATTAGAAATTGGTGTGTGATCATACTTTCCTTATATTTCATCCATTGGACTCTCTTTTCATCCAATTGACTACTAGGACTCTTGAATCTTCATTGTAAGGTCCGATACAACTTTTGAGTATTTACACTTTAATCCCCGTACTTTAGATCTCTTACAATTTAGCTATCTTCTCCAATTTTGCCAATTTTTGCTTATTTCCTTCATTGTAAGGAACTAAATTACTTTCACTGTAGCTGCAATTATTAAGAAATTTCTACCTTCGACGTTTGTGAATCAATAAATTTTTATTACCAAATTTCCTATGAACTTGACAGATATCGTAACCCACTTTGATAAAATAAGCATTTGCAATAGGGCAATCCCCATTGTACAAGGGAAAAAAGTGCAGGGCACTCACATGTGCTTAGTTGAATCTGTATCATTTCTTTTCTTTGTTTTTTTTCACCAAGTCTCAATGAAAAGAAACCACCTCCCCCAAGTATTTCCCCTGCACAAATTTTCCCTGTACACCAAGCATGGTCCTATACATTGTTCCATCCCTAATCAAACCAACGGGTCATGTTTCCCATCAATATCACATAGAACTACACCGTTTAATAGGTCACCGTTACCCGAAAGATGTGTCACAACATAAAAGTACTAAATATAAGTTTATATAATTGTAAATGTCAAAAGTTTAGTACCGAAACAAAAACTACTGAAATCCTATCATCATCTACTTGAAATATTGAAACCCGTCGAATCCATTAATGCAGTTGTTGTGAGTTTCATCCAAATGTTTGCGTTTGTAAACTGTTATGTTTTGAACCAAATCAGTGTGCTCAAACCGAATCACACATTATCCTCAATTTGCGACGCCGAGCAGAATAGAAATTATTCTGCAGGCAGGTAGTAACAGGTAATAAACAGAGAGAGCGAGCAAGAGAAAATGTGCAAGAAAAAAGAAATCTTTAATATTCAATCAATGAGATTGAAAATAACCCACAAGCCGGCCGGGTTATATAGTTAAAGAAATCAAAATTATTGAAATTTTACCAAAAATAACAAAATCCAAATATTCATACCAAAAGATAGTAAGAAAAGAAATAAAATCTCAAAAATTCAGCTCAATTCGGGTTTATAATCTATCTCAAAAAGGCAAACGAAATATTACTAAAAAGGGCAAAAAATAACTTAATATTGGAATTTGAAAGAGAAAACAACGGATTTTGCCTTCGAAAACGATTCGCACCGAGCATAGCTAAATCAACGATTTTATGAGCGCGATTCCGATAACCGTAGTCAAAGTTATGGCCAAATTACAAAAACTCGTCCAAATGTCATCAAATTAGGAAAAGACTACGTACCCTTGCCATATTTGCGTTGATCTGCCAACTCGTGATATTTTAGCGCAATCAACGTGTTGTCTGATAGCTCAGCGTCATCTAAGTCGGATGCTACTGCATCAGTTTGTATTCTACAGTAGAAGTTACATACTAATCTGCAATTCGTTGAAATTTAACATTTCCTTCATCCAATACAGCCATGTGCTTCCTCTTTTTCGATAACTTAGTGGTGTCTGTGAACTTGGCAGCTGTTCGAGCGCGCAATTCCTCTAAGCTCTCACCTTCTTTGGCTCTCTCAAGAACCTGAAAAGCAAGCAGGCAATTAAGAGTTGCACTAGAGCATGCATAAAAAAATGGTTACGCATTGCAAGGCAAACATACCAGGTGACGACCGTACAAATGGGTGTTTGAAAGAGCTTGAAGGGCATTATGAGCTTCTTGCTTTGTAACATACTCTACAAAAGCAAAACCTCTGTGGTTGCCAAACTTCATTGGCAGCCTTAAACTCTTTACCTGCAGAGGCACAAATCATGCATGTCAAGTTTTAATCAATTGATGTGAAATCCATAGACATCAAGAAAGAAAGAAAAATTATATATTTCATTTATTGCAACCTCAAACTCAGTCAGTGTGTGAAGAATGATACAGAGATAGAGGCGAGGATTATTTTTTGTAGGGATGGTAAAATGCCCCGTCCCAACTCTTATTTTTTATTTATTTATGTTCTTATGTTTAAGTCATATTTAGAGAAATAAGTAAACAAGTAAATGGGGGATATTTACATCCCCGTTGTCATCCCTAATTTTTAGATCTTTTAATTGTACAACTTGTCCACCGTGCTGGGAAGAGCTCTCTCTATTGTGGAGTACCCATACAAAAGACCATCCATTCTTCTTGAATGTCTTTTATATGTTATCTGCAAATGACTGGATAATCATGCAGATAACCAAACACGGTTGAAAGCAAGAAAAAATAAAGATCAGTTTGGGCTCTAAACGAAAGTCAAAGAATAAGGCAAACTGCAAAAATAATAACAGCATTTGCCATTTTCCTCCCTCCAGCATTCCAAATGAAACATTCCATTTTTATTATTACTTCCAAGTAGCCAAAAAATTTATTGAAGTACAAGTTAGAAGGCAATTGAGAAGGAGTTCATAAAATAGTAGTTAATCAACAAAACATTCAATCAAAAGTTGGGAACAATCCACACATCATATTTCATTTCTACAAAACATAATTCACACAAAAAATAAAGAAAACACGGAATCATTTCATCACAACAAAAAATCAGAGACTATACCTGGCCAAATGGACTAAACAGTTGTCTAAGGTCTTTCTCTGTTGCCTCAAAAGCTACATTCCTTACTATCAATTTTGTTGAACTCTTGCCGCTATCAACTTTTTTATGGTGGTTTTCATCCTTTTTAGCATGACAAAGTTGCAATACGAGGGCATGCCCATCCAAAACAGTTCCCTGAGGTGATAAATAAAAAGGTAATACAAAAGGAGAAGAAGGTGAGAAACACACATGAAGACTTATCACATGCAATTGATGTAGCCAAAACAAGCAGGAATTCAGAAGATTACCTGCAAATCCCTGCAAACATTCACTGCTGTGTCAACAGAATCGAACTCTATGAAACCAAAACCCATTGAAACGTTCTTTCCATTTTTTAGATGCTTCTTCACCTAAGAAATAAAACGAATAGAAGATAAGAGCACCAATGACAACAGCAGTAAATGCAATAATAGAATGTACTAAAATTGTTAGCTGTACTGACAGGGACAAGAAAGACCTACCCTGACACTAAGTATTCTTCCTTCCTTTAAGTGCTCTGAGAAATGCCTCGTCAAGTTCTCATCTGATGTTTTGAAATTCAGGTTCTTTACATACACTGAGCGAGACTGCAACAAAAAACAACACGACAAAAAGACTGACTACCTGTAGTGGGAACTGTTCTAAGAAAACATCCATACAACTTGAAAAACCTAAAAGCACGTACCAATATGCCACAATATCTTGCATTATAATCAGGGAAAATATCACACAAAACTCAAATGATTTTGCACTTTATTCCTTTCACTTTATACTATCAGCAGATTACTCAGGAAAAAATTAACTAGCACTCCCAAACCAATATAACATCTATGACAAGATGAATTAACCATGCAAAAGGCCTATCCCCATCCAAAAATAAAGTCAAATAGTTGATTGGCAGCAGGTCAATGCGGAATTATTTATCAAGATCAAACACAATTAGATTATTCATTAGGGCCTTTTCATTGACAGATTCCTAAAATAGATTGAGAATTGAGTCTGTACTCTTGCATCCCATATGGACTTTGGAACCGAAGGGCACTGGTTCTTCTGAGTGTGGAACTAAGATGCACAATAACTACTGTAAGTTTTCCACCCAATATATACATAAACAAGGTTCAGCCTCCTCATCTGCATCAGAATATTTTTTCTGTTAAGAGCAAGGGGGCAAAAAAAATAAAAGACGGTCTTCGGCCAGTAGATAGGAAGAAAGTTGACCAACCAATAATTCTGTCGTGCAGGAAATAGCAAGTATGCCTGTTTCTTATTTATAATGAATATAAAAGAATATAAAAGGCCTTGCGTCAAGTATGCACGTATACTAAAAAGGATGATAACCAAAACAATTAGAGTCCAGAAATAACCTCAATTCTATCAGGATCAACATCCATATCTGTTATATCTTCCAGCTGTTGCTCAAGCAAAACTCTCTTCGAGTCATGTTCATCCACAATAACATTATCATTTGAATCACCCATTGAGGTAGGAGTTGGACTTAGAATATTACCAGGCGCCCATTCCAGATACAGTGGAGCATCCCTATGTTGACATAAATCATTTCCAACTTCACAACCAAAATTTTCGCAAGAGAAGTTTTACATATGCCATAAGAAATATGAATTTAGCAGCTAACAACAAATTGGTAACAACTAAAACTAATATTTATGAAAGTCCTAGTTAGGACTTAAGTTACTGAAAAGAGAGAGAAAAAGTAGTCATTGAATTCAAAGAAATCCCTAAACTTTATATTGGAGCTCTCAGTTACTTTTATTTCCATATATATATATATATGAACTTACTTGTAACGCTTGTACGCTAAACTTTTAAAACATGCACGTGCTTCAGCTGCTTCAACAAATATAACCTGGAGTATCATGAATGAAATAATTATAAACTGAATAATTAATGTCAGGAATGAATATATATATAAGTTCAATAATCACTACAAGCAATTTCCATTGCACAATTGGAAACTTATAACTGATGCATAAAAAATACAATTTTACTAGACACAAGGACATCTGCAGCTTAATTAAACAAGGCAAAATATGCCAGCAGATTAGCAAGCTTCCCATGTATCATATTCAAGTTATTTGATACGTCACCCATTTTCATCACATATTATGTGATTAAGCTCAGCTAGTTCCAGCCAATAACATCTCCAAGAGCAAGCTGCCCATCAGGTATTATTTCATGTCAGGTGACAAGTGTTACAAGTTCTAAGTCTGGCAAGTGATCATAGAATTTTTTGCCAGAAGGCTCTTTATCACTTTATTTTAAATACAATAATTCTTTGGTAGCAAACTTTAGCGAAGGTTACTCGCAAACAGGATGAACTGTGGGAGAACAGTAAGAAGTTATAGTGCCAATTACTCAGTAAGCATATCTAGTGACTTCCCCAAAAATATCATTCTATCAGACTCATGTTAGCCAAGATTGAGATCACTAGTTGCACAGCTCTCCCATAAAAATATATATAACAAGAGTCTTAACTACATGTTGCACATGATAATAGATTATGGAAATAAACACCTCATTCAAATCCATATTTAAGATGAAGGTGATAATCAAAATTGACCTAGTACAGAAGATACTTTTTATAACAGAACTAGAAGAAAGCCCTTCCTATCGAACTTTTCTGGATGAAAATACAGTCTGAAGAGCAGCCACTGCATTTCATCACTAGTGCATAATGACTCTCCTAAAAACAGGCCCCTCTCTGAGGCAGAGAAACGGGATAGTAATAAAGAGAGAGAAGCTTAATCTCTAATATGATATAAATTAATATTTATGAGGTACCAAGAGTCATTGTAGTCAAATGTTAAAACAATCCATATTACATAAATATACACATTATTCAAGGAACAGAAAGTAATAGGTATATAAAATTGTGAGCTTGGCTTTCAAAGATCAGAATAAAGCATATGTCTGGAAACTCTGAATTATATATAGAGACCAGAAAAGGAGGAAAATGAAAATACCAAAGCCAGCGTTTTTGTGGGCGGTAGAATGATTTTGTCCAACCTGCCACATTTCCCAAACATATCGGCCAGTTCACTTTCAGATGAACCATAGGGCAAGTTCTTCACCAAGATAACATGGTTGCTTCTCTTCAAACCATCAGTTTTCCCAGAGGTGAACTCCTCTAATGAGGAAACATTAATTCCAGCCTTTGAAAGAGCTTTTTTTGTCTCGGAAATCACTTGAGTTTCTCCCAATGCAATGCGCACAGCTAGATCATCAGCTTCTCTATCTAGTAATTCACTTTTACTAACACCAAATTTTCGTGCAACGTTTTCAACGACCTACAATGTGAAGGAGCAGACAAGATCATCAAGTTGAAGTCAAGACAGTAATGTTAAGAAATTAATGGACAAATCCATGCAGAATAATCGTTAGCATAGTAAGGGGTATTGTATTCATCTAAGGGGAAGAAAGTGCATGTATTAGTTCAACGCTGCGACTAGCATTTTCTGTTTACTTCTTCAGTAAAGGAGGCTGTTATGGTCTAATTGATTGAGGAAATTTCTAAACCATCTAGAAAGAGTTAATTCCAGATCCTATCTCTAAAGTTAAATAACACGAGAGCCGAAAACGAAACTTGGGAGACAGAAGAATAAGATTGGATTTCATTCGTCGAGTACATTCCATTACAATGAAGATTGTATTTACACAACTTGGGCGAGTCGGCAAACACAATCAAAACTCCAACCAATAGTATAAATTTACTTAGTTATGATTGATGAACCAACTAATTGTTAATGACAACCTTTGTAGGAATAGCACACAACCCAAGTATTCCCTGTATAACTCAATATAAATCTCTTTGTTCCAGCAATTAGCTTTAGGCTCCATCCATTGAAGTTCTCATGAGCCAATTACTATCAACTACTATGGCAGCTGATCTAATTTTCAGCCATGTTTTCTTGTGACTACATTCGAAAATACAACATTCTAAAAAATGCTGAGCATTGCAGCATATTAATGATGAACAAAATCATGGGTGAATCATATACTGTAAGAGTAACCATGCCAAACCACTAAAAGCAGAGGACACAAAAATGAAATAATTACCTAAAAGTTTGATTTCATCTCAAAATTCATTTGAAGCCTTTAAACTGTGGAACACTCAAAAATTATACTAAAGATCTAAACCTGACAACAGATTTTTTCCGTCCATACGAATCCTAGATGAGAAGGAATACACCTGCTGTAAATAATAAATACATTTACATACAAAGATTGACTCCAAACTTACTGTGTCAGGTCTCATGAATAAACTATTCCATCCTCGTGTATTTCCACTGGCTTCAGAAGCCTTCCTTTCCTCATTTCTCGTCTGTTTAAGCGTCTTCGACGATTGTTGGGTAAAATTATTGGTCCTGCAGATGAGAAGCAGCATAAGATAATCTTCTTATTAATTAGGTAAATCCATAATTAACAAAAGAAAATGCACATAAAACATTAGTTGCTCTTTATAGATACGAAATGGGGGCCGAGGAAGAAGAGAGGCAACAGAGGAAAGAAGGGATAAGAATAAGGAAGAGGAGCTGCGCTAACGGTCATAACCTGCAATTCAAATATGGGGAAACAGTGTCGTATAGAGACCTTAATTGTAATAGGCAAAACACGCTTTTATTTTCATTTCACGTTTTATTTTATTTTATTTTCTGTTATAACAGCAGGAACAGAGAGGGAGGGCAGTGTGTGTGTGAAGTGGGATGCCACAAAGTATAGTCACAGATAGAGAAAATTTTCACGGGTGAATTTTGGCAAGAGTTGTTCAAGCAAATGGGGAACAAATTGCAGTTGAGCTCTGCTTATCACCCCAGACAAATGGGCAAACAGAGAGGCTAAATCGATGTCTCAAAATGTATCTTAGGTGTATGGTTTACAAGCAACCTAAGCATTGAATTAAGTGGATCAACTTGGCTGCTTGGTGGTCCAACACCAGTCTACACACCTCTATCAAGATGACATCATTTGAGGCACTTTATGGCATCAAACCCCACAATTGGCGTTGGGACCATACTAGCAGATAAATGTAGCAACAGTCTAATAATTGCTGCAGGAAAGGCATAAAGTGGACAAAGTTTTTTTAAGGGAAAGTTTGGCACAAGCTAGAGCAAGGATGAAACATTATGCGGACAAACATAGGAGTGAAAGGGAATTCCATCTAGGTGACTGGGTATAACTCAAGCTTCATCCTTATGCTCAATACACAGTAGCTTAAAAAAAAAAGACAAATTGGCTACAAAATATTATGGCTATTATAAGGTGATACAAAAAATTAGGAAGGTTGCCTATAAATTAGAGCTGCCTGCAAAAGCTCAAATCAACCCTATATTTCATGTCTCTTTGTTGAAGAAAAAGAGAAAGAAGTCGTAGTTTATGCACTTCACGAGCAATACAAAGATCGGGAGTAACAAAAACAACCGCTACGAATTCCATCCACGAGGATGGTTAAGAAAAACAATCAAGAGTGGCCGGTGTAATGGGAAGGAACCAACGTAGAGGATGAAACCCGGGAAAATACTGAGTTTATGCGAGAGAAATTTCCAACATTTTAATCTTGGGGACAAGGTTTGTCTAAGGGAGAGGGATGTTACGAGGAAAATCGAGGAATAGAATGAAATGAGGGCTGGGGAAGAAGAGAGGTAACAGAAGAAAGAAGGCATTAGAAGAAGGAAGAGGAGTTATCAACGGTCATAACCTACAATTCAAAAATGGGGAAACGATGTATTGAGATTTTAATTGTAATAGGCAAAACACGCTTTTATTTTCATTTCATGTTTTATTTTCTTTCCTTTCTGTTATAACAGAAGGAAGGGAGAGGAAGGGCAATGTGGAGTGGATCGCCTGATTCTCATTCCTCCCCTAATTATCCTCCTCCTGTCTTCCCTCTTCTCCATTCTAGTTTTCATTGTAATTTCCTTTAGAATATCAATTAAATATAGTTGGTTAACTGATTTCATTTACAACGCCGAGTTAATTCATACAGGGTGATTGAAGTAGGGTGGGATTTGGAATCCAACCGTAACAGAACAATGAAAGATTGAATATAAGAGGCAAAAATGCTCAGATTCTACATACTCTTGCTTATCAGAAGGATTCTTCTCTTTTGCTCGCATGATATGCAATAATCTCCCTTGAAAATCTAAGCCGTCCAACTCTTCCAAAGCTCTGAAGAAAGCATCACATATCACAGCTTTTGACAAAAGTAGTTGTACTATCAAATGAATACTAGTCATTGTAATTATTAAAAAAATACGAGAGAATGATGTAAATAAACCTAACCATAAGATAACCACCTAATAAAAAATATCAGGAAAACATAGCATCATCTAACAAAAGATCCAAGGACACTCTCGTGGCTAAAGGAAACTTATGTAAACTAGTAAAGGCACATACAGGTTAACACAGTGCGTTGAACAGGATTGATGTACTGATTTTTTACTTTTGGAATGAGGTATTGTTAAGAGTCTGAAAGCTTCAAAATCATGAAAATTAACTACTCATGATTTGGCAATGTGATTATAACAGCCAGTTCATTACACTGTACATTTAAGAGTAACTGTTATGCTGAAGTCATAATGCATAAGGTACAATTCTGGTTCAGGATACAATACCTAGAAGCAGATTCTGGAAGAGCATAAAGAACAAATGCTATGCCCTTGGACCGTTTTGTATCTTTATCAACAACAATATGGACCTCTGAGATGTCACCAAATTTTCTAAAGTGTTCTTCCAACTCCTCTTCGCTGTGTTACATCAGAAAGCACTTGATGCATAAGAAAGATAAAAACAAAAAGAAAGTGATAAGAAATAGCTATTGTCACAGAGCTCGAATTGTACGTGGCAGTGTAGGGCAGATTACGGATGTATAGGCGGCCGGTCTCAAGGATTCCTTCTTTCTCGTCGGAGTGGTATATTTTCTCACTAGATATTTCAGAGGAGACATCTTCAGTCTCCCCTTCAGAAATTTCCGGTTCGAGTGTATCCCCAACAGGACCATGGTTGTTTTTGTTCAGAGTCTTACCACTGCTGTCACAATCATCATCCACATCAGAGTCATCAGCATCGTCATTACTTTCTGAATCTGACCACTCTTTTTTAACTCTGCTCTTGAAGTAATCCATATCAGATGCAACTTCATTGTGAACTAAACTGTCTGCTTTAACAGCCACTTGATTCTCCGACAATATATTTTCATTTCCCACAGTTCCTTCAAACTGAGCGCTCAGTTCATCTAATTTCCAATGACTACCTTTTACTTGGAGTTTCCTGTTACTAGTATCTTTACCTTTCTCAAGAGAGGGAACTGTAGGGGCATCATTTGCCCACAACTTTGACTTGCTACGCGGCTGCATGACCTGTAGAAACTCTTGAAATTGAGGGTCATCATTCCCAACATCCTTCTTACTCTTCTTAATCTCCCCTTTTGCTGCTACAACTTTAGAACCTTTAGGAACATTTAATTTATTTTCCGCTCCAGATGAACTCTCCTGTTTCTTTGATGAGTACCGACTCCATGGACGTGGTATTTCCGGATCTCCAACCTTCCGAGCAATCTGTGTTCAGATAAAGGTTACTCTATATTTTTTTCCTTTTAATTAAATTACCTAAAGCATGTGATAAGCATACTACAATTTGATGGAACGCAGATTAAAAGTGAAATTCACCACTCCACAACCTTCCACGAAAAGTCAGTTTGTTTAGGTCCATAGATACGTTTCTTATAATCCTTTTTAGTGAAGTATACATCATAAGCACTCATTAAGCAAATATTTTCCTGAAATCAAACCTGTATTAGGAAGTGTCGGTATCAAACTAACTATTACAAATGGAAAAGACACAAAACCGATTAGAAAATACGAACCTCGCAATGAATTTTGCAAGTATCCATGAAAGACCCGTGAAAGTAGTTAATGGCTTCCTTTGCTTCTTGCTCAGTCCTGTATCCCACAAATCCAAACTGTCTGCTCTTCCCATCCCTGCACCAAATTTTAGTATAGTCTATTACTCAAATGGGAAATTAAAAAAAAAGTATAAAACATAGAAAAAAATAGAAATACTATAGGTACTGGAAAAAGAATACTTGGTGCGCATGAGCTTGGCGTCAGTAACTTCGCCTTTCTGTGAGAAGAATTCTCTGAGGCGGTCATCTGGCACATATCTTGGCAAGTTCTTCACGCATATTCGTGACCTTCATATCGAATATTAATCATAAACATATAAAATACAAACACTAAATGGATTGAAGAGAGGTATCTCAAGAACTTACATATTTGGTAGAACTTATTATTAATAACTGCAGCTAAACGGAGTTGGAGAGGGGAGAGAGACGGGTTATCGGAATTGGCAGCGGCCGGTGAGTTTATTTCTGGACTTAGGGCTTTCATGCTGGATGGTTGTGGGTTGAAATTTGAACTTTTTCATTCGGCTTAAGTTGGGCCCATTACGTTTAAGGCAACTAAGCCTACGTTTGATACACATAATTTTGAGTATGCCGGAGCAAAAAAATCGAAAAATCTATCAAACCATTCAAATCGAACCCAAATTCGAACCGATTTGGGTCAATTTGACATAGGTAATTGGTTTGGTTTGGTTTGATTTTTGTTAAGGGAACAGTACACAAAACCTATATATAAGAATTACTTTTCAAAACTAACAAATTTGTCTAATTATTTCAAAAATCAGGTGGTAAATAGATTTATTAAATATTAAATTATAATATAATATATATTAATTATTTACACCCCATGACACCTCACTCATCCTCATCACCTCACTACACCACCTTCCCTCCATCTCCGGCACCACTCGGCGACGCTCCGGCGACTGTTCCGACTATTACTCCGGTGGCCTCTCCGGTGATTCTCCGACGATCATCCCAACGCCCGTTCCGGCGGCCAACTTCCAAATTTTTCCAAAATTTTTTTGTCACAATTGGTCACCATGAGTCACAATTTACAAGTCATAATCGGTCACAAAAGGGCACAATCGATCACCACGAGTCACAATTCGTCAGTCATAATCGGTCACAAACAGTCACATTCGGTCACAAACAATCACAACGAACTACTCGGTAATCAAATCGCGATCTAGCACTAGAACTTTCGACTGCCGAACCACCACCACAATCAACAGTAACTACTCGGTAGCCATTTCGCGATCTATCACTAGAACTTTCGGCCGCCGAACCACCACCACAATCAACATATACGCATCTCAAGCAGTTTGCAACCCACGAACAACCTCCTTCACCACTAAACAACCAACAACCACTACCACTTCACCACCATTTCAGGTTGCCAATCTTTTCTAATTATGAGATTTATGAGTGAAAACAAAAAAGGAATACCAAAACCTGATAAATGTTCTATGTCTTCTGTATGTCTTCTCTTCTCAAAAAAAGGCCCCTATGTCTTCTCTCCTTCATTCACAACAAGTTTCTCCTCTGTAAACTTACAAGCCTCAATACAAACCCCAAGCTGCGCTTCTTAACGACAAAGACTTCTGGCACCTCGCATATGGTGACCACAATACCCCTGCTGCCAAGACTACCAGTTCGGCCAGCTCGATGTGCAAATTCACACTAGCATCATCACTACGACGCCACTGCGACACCACAGGTGCAATAGATGGCTTAAAGGCTGCAGATAGTCTAGATCTCTTCTTGGCCAAGCTCTCACTCTGCCTCTCCCTCTGCTTTTTCAATCTAGAAGTGAGAAGCTTTTGGTACTCAGCAGCTTCTGCCTTGGCCTTCGCAATCCTCTTCTTCTTATCGAAAATTTTGGCTCTCTTTCTCTGCAAAGTCAAGGGAGTTACCAGCCTCTGAATCTTAGGAGCTTTGCTCACATTCTTGCCTGTCATCACGCAATAGCTTCAGGTTAACAATTGATTTTGAATATTCCATAACAATGTGCAACTGAGATTAAAAGTTTGTAAAAATAAAATTAAACCTCACATAAAATAAAAGTCAAACTAAATAGGGCTTGAGTAGAACCGAAGCAGGTGCTGACTACTGCTCGACGAAACTTCATGGGCGGAGGTGGCAAAGCAGCTGTGGATTCACAGGGACGGAGATGGTCGTGTCGGGGCGAAGCTGCTACGAGAGGCGGATGGAGAGAGGGAGATGGAGAAGATACAAAGAGAGATGAAGAGGGCCTCTGGGTTTGGGAATTCAATTAATGGGGGTGGTGGGAATGGGGGTGGTGACGAAATAGGTAGATTTAAAATTTTATTAATTACAATTAATAATCCTAATTTCCACCTGATTTTTGAAATGTAAACTTTATCACCTGATTTTTGAGTTGTAATCTTGAAAAGAAGGGTTTTAGGTCATTTTCTCTTTTGTTAAACAAAATCATGATGAGTTGGGTTAGCCATGATTTGAAGCCTCAAACTGTTGGTTAATTGAACTGATCCAACCCATTTACAAGTTTATTTATTTTTTTAAAGAAAAATAAAAATCAAAAGATAAACCTTAATTTCATAACTATATCTCGATTCTATCCAATTTATGATATTGCCAATAAATAATAACACTGGAAATTTTTTCTCACAAGCTCATTATGTCATATTAGGCATTTTTTTCTTACTCGGGCAGTAATGCTATATAATGCATAAAAAGCAACAATTCCTAAATTTTCTATTGATATATCTCTATTAATTTTATTTTATTAGTTAGTCAATAGTTTTTTGTAATATAAAATTATTTTAGTTCTTGTAGTCTAAATGGACTCAAAACCTAGACAATTTTTTTTTAAAAAAAAGTTCAATTTGTACTAAAAATCAAAATCGACTAATCGAACCAAAATAATAATAATAATAATAATAATAATAATAATAATAATAATAATAATAATAATAAAACCGAATTGATTTGAGTCTGTTTAATTTAAGAGTTAGAATATGTTGGTTTGGGTTGAAATTTACGCAGACGAACAATTTGGTTTTGGTTTTGAGTTGGAGTTGGAGTCGAAACCACCACAATCCAACCCAAACCAAACCAAACTATGCCCAGCCTAATTTTGAGAAAATAGATATTTAAATTTTGATTTTTTGAAAATTTTGTGATTAAAAAGTATAAATCTTTTTTTGATTTATATGTAAAATATTTTATTATATAAATATGTGGTTAAAAATGAGTGTGTGAATTAAAAAGTATTGAACTAATTATTGTCGAACATGGACTAACTACTTTGGAGTAAATTACGTCGATTTAATTTCGTCAATGCTCACCGAAATTTGGAGTAAATTCTAAGATGGTCATTAAAGTAATTTTCGTATAGTAGTAGTTGATGAAATTTTTAAAGATTTCACTAATGATCATTCTTTTAAAATTATTAGTGTTATACCCTATTTCCTCTCCAATTTGTTTCATTGATTTATCTATTATACTAATTCTTCAAGTTATACAATTTCTCCAATTGGCTTTAATTTAGGATTCTCCATTAAATAGTATATTAGTACTACCGATCATTTGGTTAAAATTATTAGGCATCGTTTGATTGCCACATTTTCCATTGAAAATGTCACATCCGAGCAAAAGAAATTCCACTTGGCCATTTGATTGCAACGTGAAAATGAAAACAAAATTTTAAGGTACAACCACTTTAAACTACATTTTCTTTGTTTTCATGGGAAATGAAATTCTATGAGTTTGGTAGGTTTTTATTTTCCAACTAACATGGAATTTGAATATCTTTCCACATTTGTCTATCAAACGTACCATTAGTGTTATACCTTATTTCCTTTCCAATTTCTTCATTGGTTTATCTATTATCCTAATTCTCCAAGTTCGACAATATCTCCAATTGTCTTTAACTTAGGATTCTCCATTAAATAGTATATTAGCACTATCTTTTACAAATTTGTGTTTTCTCATATCATTAATCTTTATTTACTCAATTTCCTTTGGTTTAAGGTTATACAACTCCAAAAAAAATGGAAATAAAGTTCGACTCACGAGCCTTTATTGCTTTCGTATGCTATTGTAGGATAGGTTGTATCATGAAGACTTTATGAACCGAAGTTAATCAGACAATCAATTCTTAGGATATGCAAACTTCGGGTGAATTTTACTATAGTTTTAGGGTCGATTGTATTGAAAAAAAGTTCAAGTTTTCAAGACTGTATTAACTAGTGACGTAATTACTCAAAACTTTAGTGGTCACTAACGTAATTAACTTTATTTCCACGATCTTGTAAGTTAAAGTAAATTTCACTTTGTTCACTAATTTATGTATAATTTTCTATTTTTTCTTTTCCAAACCATATTTTGAAACCAGCTTGTTCAAACCTCCAATCGAACCAAGTTTCATAAGTAGGTCTACCTAAATGAACTCGTCCATTGACATCTTTATAAGTTGAGTAATGTTATTTAACATCACTTTTATTATAACACCAGTTTAAATGACATTATTGATATTAGTATATATATATTACAATTAAATGAATCACTTAATTTTACCTCCCACTGAGTCTATCACGTAGTGACATGGTGTTGTAAAACTAATGGTGTTAGAAAGCATTTTTGTATAAGTTAGGGGCTTCTGAAAAAACTAGAATAGATTACGGATCCTTTTGTAATTTTTCCTAAATTTTTCTTAGGATGTGTCTGATGGATATTATTGAGGAAAGAATGTATTTTAAATAGTGATATGATGAGAAATATGTGGTTAAAAAGTAAGAAAAAGTTATTGATATGATAGAAAATAAGTTTTGGAATAATATATTTTGAAAGAATATGTGTAAGATATATTATTCCGCTGGGGTTTGAGAATATATTATTTTGTTATCTATTGGCTCTCACTTCTCTGCATTTGTTCCCTCACTCTCTATTGTGGCCGAGCCTCCTTCTTAGGTACTCGTGTAAGCAATTATATAACCCTAATACTAAGATTTGTAGAATTCATGATTTTCACATATAGATTAATTGATCAAAAAACATACCTTGATCCATAGTAATTGTTGAGAGATTTAAACCTGCAAAATAGAAATTGGTAAAATCTAGAAACCGTTCTCTTTCTTTTTCTTTCTGTAATTGAATATTTTATTTGATGGGTTTCATTCACATTTATATGCAGAGAGAAACATTTTAATGGCCATAAAAGAAAACTATTCACCTTCTATCGAAGTCATGAGCCATAAAAGAAAACTATTCACTTTCCATCAAAGTGAACGGTTATTAAACTGTCACTTCTCAATTGACCAATAGAATTTTATCAATAATTAACCATTATTAATAATATTACTTGGACCAAATTAATAGGTTTTACATTCTCCCACTTGGTTCATGTAATATTACATCGCTATGTGGTCTATAACATAATGAACATGAAAAATTAAAATTGTCTCGTACATTGGTCACTTAATATATCATCCTTAAGTAAAGACTAAATAAGAGTCATGGTGGTTTTACATCATTATTTCGACATAATTCCTTCCATGCACTAAAATATTAGTCCCCACCTAACATAACACGTAATGAGAAGTTCAATAACTGCATTTCAATAATGTTTTTGAAAAGATTGTTCTTATCAGCATTCATACAATCCATTCATGTGCATATATCAACTATTATGATAGGAATAATATTTTGTCAAAAATAATACATAAACGAGCTCCAAGTGTCAATTACTTAAATTTCATAATGTCAATGATCATTTCCAATAATACCCATTCTTTCAGCGTGTTCATTAAATGTCTTTAGTGGAAATCCTTTTATTAGTGGATCTGTAATCATAAGATTGATACTAATATGCTCGATTGACACCTTTTATTTTTTAACTTCCTCTGTAACGGCAAAGTATTTCAATTCCACGTGTTTAGCACATTTAGAGTACTTATCGTTCTTTGAAAAGAAGACTGCTGCAGAATTTTTACAATAAAGTTTCAGCAGCTTAGCAATACAGTCGACAATTCCAAGCCTTGAAATAAAGTTCCGTAGCCAATTTCCTTGAACTGTGGCCTCAAAGCATGCCACAAATTCAGCTTCCATAGTAGATGCAGCAATGATCAACTACTTCGCACTTTTCCGTGATATAGACCTCCAGCTAAGAAAAACAGATAGCCAAATGTCGACTTTCTAGTATCCACACATCCAGCAAAGTCTGAATCTGAATATCTAATGACTTCCAAGTTATCATATCTACTATAAGTGAGCATGTGGTCTTTCGTTCCTTGCAAGTATCTCAAAAGGAGTCTTTGGAACTTCTTTATAGGGGACCCTATTTTACAAATATATAGCAATCTTTAATGCAAACATCCACGGAAAAATGGGTAAAGAAGAATTGCTTAACATACACCTAACCATTTATATTATAGTACGATTATACATTTCAGCTACATCATTTTGTTGTGGTGTGTCCGGCGTAGTGTATTGAGAACATATGCCGCGTCTTTCAAGAAATTTAGCAAATGGAACAGGGTGTTGTCTAATTTCATCACATCTTCCATAATATTCACCACCTTTATCAGATCTAATGATTTTCACATTTCTATCTAATTGACAAAGATCTCTAAAGCATTTACAGCTTGAGATTTTTCATGAAGTAGATAGACATAACCATAATGTGAAAAGTCATTAATAAAGGTGATAAAATACTTTTCTCCACCAAATGATGGAACATCAACAGGCCTACATATATCAGTATGTATTATTTCAAGAAGTTGTGTGCTTCTTATGGCCCCTTTCTTTGTGTGTTTGGTTTGTTTTCCCTTAATGCAATCCACATAAATTTCGAGATCACTAAAATCCAAGTAAGGAAGAATTTCATTCTTTATTAACCTTTTTATCCTTTCCTTGGATATATGACCCAAACGTTTATACCACAAGTTAGCAGATTGTTCATTCAATAAATCACGTT